TTTGGTCATCTACTAAGAATGCAGCCAGAACAGCTTCCAATGCAGGTGTTATACATGAAAAGATTTGATGTGAAAGCAAGAGGCCACCCTAGGGGATGGACTGATGATATCAAAGAGCTTCTACATGAACATGGAATAATGTTCCTCCCCATGTCACCTAATAACAGAAGTGGAAGTTGATGATGATTGTGAAACAAACTGCAAACAACTAATTTTGCGTTAAAGCAAATAATGCTAGACACATTTTTCAGACCAGCTGGCACCTGATTGGTCAACATCAAGGTGGCCACCTGATTGGTCAACATCAAGGTGGCCACCTGATTGGTCAACATCAAGGTGGCCACCTTGACTTTTCAGGACTTTACCTGGTACCCATTTTCTTTTTGGCTGGGTCGACCTGGGATGGTAAAATATTTATTTCAGTTTCAGAAATGAGAAATGAGGTGCCCGAGGTGACAGGAGACTTTCTGGTGGTTGAAGGATAGTACACTTGGGCATACTGGGTTTTTAATGGGCACACAAAAGATGGTTCTGAAAATTGGATCAAGGGGAAATGAAGGAAACTGAGGAGGGGGGGAGGCGCAAACCAATATTTAACTTCCTCACAAGAAACCACATCAGCAGACTCAACAGAAAACAACATACAGCTATCTTTTTCCGTCAAAGTAAATTGCAATGCAGACTCAACAACCAAACCACAAGCATAAAATAAAGTCTGTACAGTGCTCCCACAGTATGCATGTCAGACAGGACCCCAAACACCTGAGCACATTCTGCAGGCCTGCCCACTCCACTTACACCTACAAAGAGAAACCTGGCCACAGGAACAAAATGTGCAGAGCAAGCTGTGGGGAACCATGGGAAACCTGCAACTGATATGAAAACTCAGACAGCCAGCCCACCTGAAAAGAAGAAGAAGAAGAAGAAGAAGAAGAAGAAGAAGAAGGAAGAAGAAGAGAAGAAGAAGAAGCAGGTAATTATTGGCACTGCCAGAAAAGCTGTAGGAGCTTAACAAAGACAAATAAGAAATGATCATCAACTGGCAATCCCCGGTCCTACACCGCCAAAAGTATTGAATTGTCATCATCATGTGCCATACCAATAAGCATAGGCTGTCATGTTTCACCATCTCACAGATCAGTTCAATGTTTTTGTCTGGTTTCAGCCATCTGGCCAAGACACTAGGTATTTATCTCTTTGCCTTCCTCTTGCTCTTTTTCCATCAATCTTGTCAGTTGTTACCAAGTTCTCAAGTCTATTTCTTCTCATATTATGTCCAACACATACTGCCTATCTCAAATTGTTCTAATAGGTTTGTGACTTTTATCTGTCTTGATGAGGACTGCTTCCTTTTTTTTCTATCCTTTCATGACATTGTTTGTATTCTTCTGAGAAACTACATCGCTGTCGCGAGTAAATATTTTCTTCTTCTTTACATTCTCTTTTACCGCTTCAGGAGTCGAGGGAGATATAAGGTCCTGCTTCATGCTCTTCTGGCTGCTTTGACCATAGACACATCTGTAGAGTTTCTCTGATGTTATCTTCCCATCTTGGTCTACCTCTTGCTCTGCATCCCTCTCCTCTTTTGGTATATGCCTTGTATGGTATAGTGTCAGAAAGCATTCTCTCATAGTGAGCAAACTATTTTTTTGTTTGGCCTTATTCCTGATTTTATCTCTTGTGGTTACACCTACAGTCTGTCTCAGACATCTCATAGTCACAGCCTGACTCAGACATCTCATAGTCACAGCCTGTCTCAGACATCTCATAGTCACAGCCTGTCTCAGACATCTCATAGTCACAGCCTGTCTCAGACATCTCTTAGTCACAGCCTGTCTCAGACATCTCATAGTCAATGTTCTGCAGTATTAAATGCTGCCAGTAATGACAGTTTATGTTTTATTTTTGAGTTCTTGAAATCTCTAGAGCATCAGCAGCATCATCAGCAGTAGCAGCAGCAGCAGTTCAGCAAATAAGAAAAAAAGCTGATCTAGCTCTGACAAGATACAAATTTATCTCCCTTATAATCTTCTTCTTTGCCATCACCGGCTGTAAACTTCTGCGGAAAGTTACGGTTGTTCATCCACTTCTAGACTGCAGTCCTGTTCCAGCCTATCAGTCAGCCTATCCCCCCCCAACCCTCCTCCTTCTCCCCAACACCCCCCCCCTTCTTCCCACTCCCTCCCAGGCTCCCTAAAATGAGGCCTAGAACTCACAATCTTCAATCTTATTCAACTAATTCATAGGCTATGCAATAACAAATAACCAAACATAACTGACAGGCATACATAACATTTCATCATCATCCAGTGCGTTGCCAACTGGCATGGGCGATCATGCCACTCCACAATCTGTGATCTTTAACAACATGTATCAGTTCATGAGTTGCCACTTCCACTCTAAGACACTGACACGTAACTTTTCAATTTCAGTTTTAGGCCACTTTTCACCTTCAAGACACTGTCACCACCAGGTTACTTTCACCTGTGAACTCTTTAACCTGTGAGTCACTTTCACCTGTGAGCCACTTTCACCTGTGAGCCACTTTCACCTGTGAGCCACTTTCACCTGTGAGCCACTTTCACCTGTTTTAATTTCCCACTTTCACCTCTTGGCCACTTTCACCTCTAAGCCGCTTTTGCCTGTTTCATTTGTCCACTTTCACCTGTAAGCCACTTTCACCTGTTTGCCACTTTCAGGTTTTAATTTTTTCACTTTCACATCTTATTCAGGTTTATATCTAAGCTACTTTCACCCCTTATCCATTTCCATCTATTTTTCATTTTCACCTCTTCTCCATTTTTGTCTCTAATTCATTTTCATCTCTTATTCACTTTCACCTTTTATCTATTTTTGTCTCGAATCCAATTTAATCTCTTTTCCACTTTCACCTCTTATTCATTATTGTCTCAAATTTTTGTCTTCTGCTAGTCTACATGGCTGCCTGGTCTTGCACTGGTCCGGCCTGGCTGATGTCATGTTGTTGCTGGTGGGGCCTGGCTGATGTCATGTTGTTGCTGGTGGGGCCTGGCTGATGTCATGTTGTTGCTGGTGGGGTCTGGCTGATGTCATGTTGTTGCTGGTGGGGTCTGGCTGATGTCATGTTGTTGCTGGTGGGGTCTGGCTGATGTCATGTTGTTGCTGGTGGGGCCTGGCGGATTTCATGTTGTTGCTGGTGGGGTCTGGCTGATGTCATGTTGTTGCTGGTGGGGTCTGGCTTATGTCATGTTGTTGCTGGTCTGGCCTGGCTGATGTCATGTTGTTGCTGGTGGGGTCTGGCTGATGTCATGTTGTTGCTGGTCTGGCCTGGCTGATGTCATGTTGTTGCTGGTCTACATGGCTGCCGGATCTTGCACTGGCGGGGCCTGGCTGATGTCATGTTGTTGCTGGTCTGGCCTGGCTGATGTCATGTTGTTGCTGGTCTGGCCTGGCTGATGTCATGTTGTTGCTGGTCTGGCCTGGCTGATGTCATGTTGTTGCTGGTCTGGCCTGGCTGATGTCATGTTGTTGCTGGTCTGGCCTGGCTGATGTCATGTTGTTGCTGGTGGGGTCTGGCTGATGTCATGTTGTTGCTGGTCTGGGCTGGCTGATGTCATGTTGTTGCTGGTGGGGTCTGGCTGATGTCATGTTGTTGCTGGTCTGGTCTGGCTGATGTCATGTTGTTGCTGGTCTGGGCTGGCTGATGTCATGTTGTTTCTGGTGGGGTCTGGCTGATGTCATGTTGTTGCTGGTCTGGCCTGGCTGATGTCATGTTGTTGCTGGTGGGGTCTGGCTGATGTCATGTTGTTGCTGGTCTGGCCTGGCTGATGTCATGTTGTTGCTGGTCTACATGGCTGCCGGGTCTTGCACTGGCGGGGCCTGGCTGATGTCATGTTGTTGCTGGTCTGGCCTGGCTGATGTCATGTTGTTGCTGGTGGGGCCTGGCTGATGTCATGTTGTTGCTGGTGGGGTCTGGCTGATGTCATGTTGTTGCTGGTCTGGCCTGGCTGATGTCATGTTGTTGCTGGTCTACATGGCTGCCGGGTCTTGCACTGGCGGGGCCTGGCTGATGTCATGTTGTTGCTGGTCCGGCCGGGCAGATGTCATGTTGTTGCTGGTCTGGCCTTTTTTCAGGAGCAGATCATTGGCATTAGCTGCCATCCAAGGAGGCTTCCACAAACCAGAAGTGACACATGATGCTTTGCCCTGGGCTCGCCCAAGGAATCATTATGTCCTGCACATGACTGCTTAACCTGCCATCCATATTTTGAGCTTTCCCTTTTTCAGTTTGCATCTCTTTTCCCTTTTGACCTCTTATTCAAGGTGCTTACCAGACAACCGTGTCAAGCATGACCATGGAAATAGCTGCTGCTTCTAGAGCACTAGCATGAGTATCCTAGCAAACCGCCACAAAGTCATTAATTGTATCAGACTCCATGAATATGCTTCTGAAGATAGCAACAGACAGAATGAGCTCTGAATGGGTAGAAAGCATTTGAAAATCGCACTTAACCTTCCTCTCCTGGATCTACACACCGGGTCATGCGGGCGTAAAGGGAAATGAGCGAGCAGACCAGCTGGCGAGCATTGCACTAAGGCAGGTGGGAAGAAGCATGGACAGAGCAGATATCGTCAACGCTGTACGCACTGGGCTAGTGGATAATGAGGAATACCTGACACTAACACGATTGGGTGACATGGGAGTAAAGCATGGTGAAGCACGTCTTTGTCGTCTTCGAGGCCGAGATAGGAGACAATATAACCAGCTTTTCATGGGAACAATTAGTAGAAGTACTTTGGAGTGGCTGCTGTATCGGAGGACTGAGCACGCATAGGAATGCCTAATGTGCAATGACGTTTGTGATAACATAACATAATATTCAAGGCCATATTTAAACCAACATATTATGCTAACCAACTACTGGACGTAAACTTGCCTAGAGAAACCACACAACGGCCAGGGGTTGTTGGGGTTGGTTCTGCAATGTCCTGTAAAGGATACGCAACTAACCTTCATTATGCTAACCAGTCAGTAGCTCATCTGCTAAATGCGAGCGCATGTGGGACCTAAGTGCGTTAACATGCTTGCAGGTAAAGTCACACAGCCGGCACGATAACACCGGCCTCTCTGATGTATGTGTTAGTCGGTGCATCTTCAGCGACACCGCTCGCTTAGTTTTAAAGTCACACTGGTCACAAGAGAACTTTCTTTCACTCGAGTGTACTGCCATGTGATCCCTCAAGGTGCTGTTCTGGCGACACCTGAAGCCACACTGTGTACAACAGATAGGTTTCTCTCCCTGATGTTTCATCTGGTGCACTTTGAGACTGGAAGCTTGGATGCAAGTGTACGGACATTGTGTACAAGAGAGTGGCTTCCCTTTAGCGTGTGTCAGAAGATGCCTTTTCAGTTCACGCTCTCTTCGACACATGTAGTCACAGAGGTGGCAAAGAAAGTTTTTATCTGCATGTTTCAGGACATGAGCAGTAAGGCTTCCTTTGCTAGTGGAGAAGTAGTTGCATTCGGAACAGACAAACATCCTCTCACAAGTATTTTGAATACTATTCTTACCCTGATAGCAGGGTAGTTTTCTTAACCGGGCAGGTTTTCTACCATTCAAATCATTTGTGACACACAAAGGTGATGATTCACTGGATGTTAAGAGCATCACTGAATTAGCTGCGACAGTTGACTTTCTATCTTTCAAATTATCTGTGACATGAGAACATTCTAGATTTTCACAACTTGCAAGGCATTTCACAGAACCTCCTAAAGAACCTTTGAAGAAATCTGATTGTTCACTTGAAGTTGAGAGCATCAATGAAACATCCGTGGCTGTTGAGATGGATCCCCAGTGTTCAATGCCCATAGACAATGGCACAGATTCTACTAAAGGAGTTGTGGTTAAATCTTTACTCCTTTTAGTTTTAGAACGATTCCCAGAATATTGTGAAAGTCGCGAAAATGAAACAGATTTTGTGTTGTATGCTGAGAGCATAATTGCATTCTCTGATGTTAATAATTCAAAATTATCACCCTCCAAACCAATCACGGAAGCTTTGGTAATTGACTCAACATCATTTCTGACCAAACCAAACTCTGAAGCTTTGGTAATTGACTCCACATCAGTTCTAATCAAACCAAAATCTGAGGCTTTGGTAACTGACTCCACATCATTTCTGACCAAACCAAACTCTGAAGCTTTGGTAACTGACTCCACATCAGTTCTGATCAAACCAAACTCTGAGGCTTTGGTAACTGACTCAACATCATCTGATTTTTTATTGGGAAGAGAAAACATTTGATGTTCAGATGTATTGACAGCTGATTCTTCATTGGGAAGAGAAAACATCTGATGTTCAGATGTGGTTACAGCTGATTTTTCTTCAGCCATAGATAATATCTGATCTTTAGATGTCGATGATGTTGATTTTTCATTGGACATGGAAAACATTATTGCTTCTTCAGTTGATACAGAATGTCTACTGGCCCGAGGTAACTTCCCAGAACTTTTATCAGTTCCGGAAAACTTCACAGACTTTGTAACATCTGCTACATCTGCTACTGATGATGCGTGCTTTTCTTTAACATGATATTTGAGGTGAAGACGTTTACTGCTGACAAAATCACACAGTGGACAATTCAGCAATTTGGTTTTGTTAGAAAGGTTTATCAAAAGATCTTGTCTGTGTTTCTTTAGTTCGTGATATTTCAGCGTCACTGGTTTAAAACAAGAAAATTCACACAGGGTGCAAGAAAACAGCTTGTCCCCTGTGTGGAAAGATGTGTGAATTTTAAGTTCATGAGGTCGCAGGCATGAAAACTCACAAACGGAACAATACAATTTACGTACACAGTTGGATCTCATGTGTCTCAAAGCATGTTTTCGTAGGTTCGATGAAGAGGTAAAGGTGTGAGAGCAAGCAGCACAGGTGAATCCTGTGGTTGTATTTTTAGCTGTGAGATCTGAAGACAACACACTACAAGCTGATCCAACAGATAACTCTGCCCTTGTAGGCTCTGGCAGTGCAGGAGTTGTTGTTCTTGGTACATTTCTTGCTAGAGAAAGATTATGCACAAGCATATGGTTTTTCAAAACTTCTATGTGACTGCAACAAAAATGACAAGTTTTACATTTAAATCTACTCCTGTTGCTATGAATCTGCATGTGTCTCTTCAGCTGCGTCCTGGATGATGCTGTATATGAGCATGACCCACAAGCATATTTTTGCATCATCTTGTGAGCCATAGAAAAATGTTTACTAAGACTAGAAGAATGAGCGTACAATCTGTGACATATTTTACAAACATATGGTTGTTCACTGTTATGTCTCCGCATGTGGATTTTAAGCACGTATGGCCGACCGCACTTATATTCACAATGTGAACACTTCAACGGCTTGGCATCAGAATGCTGGTACATATGATTTCTTAAGCTTGTTGATCGGGTGAAAGAAAATCCACATATTCTGCAGAGGTATTTCTTGACTCTGTTATGTTTCCGTTGATGAGCTCTAAAGTTGTTCCATAACGGGGAGGAATATTCACAATCAGAGCATCTGAAAGCATTTTTTACTGCATGGACTGTTACCATATGCTGTTTAAAATAACTAGGAGAATCAGTTGATAAGGAGCAAAGTTCACATAAAAGATTCCTAGGCTTCTCATGAGTCTTTAATATATGTGATCTGAGATCTGGCTCATAATTGCAGGTAAAGTCGCAAAACTTACATGAAAAAAGCTGGATTTCATCATGTTTCCGCATGTGTTTACGAAAAGTTGCCACACGTTTGCAAGTGTAATTACACACACTGCATGATCTACTCATTTTATTGTCATGAGTTATAGAATGGGTTCTCAAATCGTCCTCTCTTTTGGTTTTGTATGAACACAAAGAGCATGAAAATGCCTTGTCAATGCTGTGTTCTGAAAGCATGTGTTGCTTGAAAATACCTGGCCGATTAGTAAAGTAGTCACACTTTGTACATTTATAGTGATTTCCCTTTGTTTGAGGTTCTGCTTGAGAGATCTCTGGGACTGTAATTTGGGAATGTAGTGTTTCAGGACCGCATAGGTCTTCCTGAGTAGGAAGCTGTTGGCTGCAGGATAAGCTATGTCTATTTAGATCTTCAACACTGTTAAATGATACTTTACATGATAAACACATGTATGTTACAGCTGTCTGGCTTGTACCTGTAGAGCTGATCAATGGAGGTTGTTCATGACCTTCTCTGCAACTTGGAGTCATAGAGAAGATTAATGAATGTTGTTTATGACCTTCCGTCTGATTGTCACTTGTAGAGTAGATCACTGAACATTGATTATGATGATTTGTCTGACTTGGAACTGTAGAGAAGATCACTGGAGTTTGTTTATGACTTTCTGTTTGACTGAAAATTGTAGAATATATCAATGAGTGCTGACTATAACCATCTGTCTGGCGGGGAATTGTACAGTAACTCAATGAAGCTTGTTTATGTCCCTCTGGCTGCCTTGGAAGTTTAGAGCAGATCAGGGAACATTGTTTATGACCTTCTTTCTGACTGGAAATTGTACAGCAGATCAATGAAGACTGTTTATGACTTTCTATATTTGAACAGTTCATATGGTTTTCACTGTAGGACTGAGTGTTTCCTACATCTTGTAGACTGTTTTCTGTCACTCTAAGAATGTCTTTCCTTTCACCAGGATTTTTTTTAGACATGGAGAAAAAATTTTGCTTCACAATATCTTCTGTGACTTTCCCACTGCAATTCCTTTCATCTGCATAATTACTATTCAGACTAAAAGAAACATGTTTTTCAAAGCCATTGTGAACTGGAGAGAAAGCTACTGCCTCTGAATGTTCAGCAAACTGTAGAGGTGAGCTGTCACATGTAGGAGGGATTTGATGGTCCAGCGGACTGTGGTGAGGCCCATCCCTGACACTGTATGGACAGACAAGGGTGGCTTCATTTAGTAACTCATAAGAAGTAACTAAGATTTTAGGCAGATCCGTCAGGCAACTGGTGTGAGGCTGCACATCTTGGTTTGAAGCAGCCCTGGCTAATGGATTCTTTGTGGTAGTAAGAGTCGCAGAAGGCAGCGAGATCTGGCCAAATGCATCCTTGGGAGCAGAACCAGCTGGAGAATAAACAGCAGCCTTGTTGATATATTCCTTGTGAAACTCCTCAGAGCTGTTGCTGGCTGAGATGTGTGTTGATGAAACACCTAAAGAGTCAGATGGAAGATGAACATCTAGAGGTGAGTCAGCTGAGTTGTGTGTGTTCTGGCTGGCAAAGTTCAATGACTTGGCTACTGTATTGATTTTTCTCATTCCTATATTGCTTTCTCCTTGTGGAACACAACTTTCTTCCTGTAGTAAATTACTTTCTCGCAGTGGTGCACTACTTTCTTCCTGTGGTACATTACTTTCTTGCAGTGGTGCACTACTTTCTCCATGTGGTACATTACTTTCTCGCAGTGGTGCACTACCTTCGCCCTGTGGTACATTAATTTCTCGCAGTGGTGCACTACTTTCTTCCTGTGGTACATTACTTTCTTGCAGTGGTGCACTACCTTCTCCCTGTGGTACATTACTTTCTCCCAGTGGTGCAATACTTTCTTCCTGTGGTACATTATTTTCTCCTAATCGTATGCTGCTATCTCCCAGAGGTAAATCACTTTCTTCCAGCGGTATGTTGCTTTCTCTCACTGGTATGTTAGTTTTTCCTAGCGGTTCATCCCTTTCTTCCAGTGGTATGTTGCTTTCTCTCACTTGTATGTTAGTTCTTCCTAGCGGTAGATCACCTTCTCTTAGTGGTATGTTGTGTTTCTTTAGCCGTACGCTGCTTTCTTCCAGTGGTGCACTGTGTTCACTCAGAACTGTAAATTTCTCTTTTAATGACACACTGCTTTCTAACAATCTTGAACTTCTTTCTCCCAGTAATAAACTTTCTCTGAGGAATCCACTTTTTCCGTCCGCTGATACATTGCTTTCTCCAGTGAGCATGCTTCCCTCTATTTCTGTCACACGTGCACTTGTTTCTCCCATTTCTCTCAAAAGTGCACTGCTTTCTCCCATATGCGCAATGCTTTCTCCCAGTCTCTTGCTATGATCTAACATCACAGGATCAATCTGTTTGTCACAACACCTACTGGATTCAGGAGACATCTTTGTCTTTTTATTCTTAACTTCACATTTCTCAAAACCATTCTGGCAATTCAAGTCTGGTGTGCATCTTGGTACAAGTTTCTCTTCAGGTGTGACATGAATTTGACCAGTTTCAACCATTTTTGCCTTACTGCAGACCTCTACATTTCCAAATGCATCGCAAATGCTCATCAGATCTGCATGCTTTAGTCTTTCATGATGTTTTAGAATGGATTCCTCTTCAGCAAAAAAATCACACTTATCACAAAAATATAACCTTGCATTTATGTGCTTCACCATATGTAGTTTAAAGTTATTCTTACGTACGCTGGAATAACTACAGAACATACATTTTAAGGGTTTGTCTCTGATGTGACATCTCATATGGGATATCAAATTCCTTTTGGCGTTGGTGACATAGTCACATTCTTCGCAGGCAAGTTTTGTGCCTGAATGAGCTGGCATGTGATTCCTCAGAGATGCATAATGTTTACTTTTAAAGTCACAATGTCTACAGGAGTAAACTTTTTCTTCTACACAGTATGCCGCCTTTCCAATTCTGCTTGCTTCATCTTTACTTCCAGTTGAGTGTTTAACTTCTAGATGTTTATTTAGTAATGTTTTTCTTTTACTTTTGAAGTTGCAAATATGGCAGAAAAATGCATGTGGTTGGTGGGTCTTAAGATGAACTTTTAGCAAACTTTGTCTATGTGCTGCAAACGGACACACCGGACAAGTAAAGGGTTTGTCAATGTTATGGTGACCATTCATGTGTTTGATAAAATCCTGGTCGTGTTCACATCCAAACTGGCAAATCTGGCATTTCAATTTTATGACCCCGGTCAAGTTCAGTTGGTGCTTTTTAATCATGTGAGCTTTTAAGTTCATCCTGCGGTTGCTGCTGTAGCTGCATTCGCTACAAGAGAATGGTCTGTCGACAGAATGAGTTTGCATGTGTGTGATATATTCTTTCTGAACAATACTTGTAAAAGAACAGTTTTGACAAGCGTACTGTGGCCGCTTCTGTTCAGTATGTTCAAGCTGATGAGACTGTAGCTCTCTCACAGTTACAAAACTAAGGGTGCATGAGGGACAGCACAGAACTGTCTCCTGTGTATGTGATAACTTGTGCTCGTCCATGTCTGAAGCACATATACATGCAAATGCGCAAGCATCACAAGAAAATAAATTTGGAATGTGTTTCGTCATATGTTGTTTCAACCCATTTGGGTCACTTGTTCTGTATGAGCAAATCTCACAGGAATATGGCCGCTCAGTGGAATGTTTATACATGTGTCTTTTCAACGTTGCCACAAAAATAAAACATTCCCCGCATATGTTACATAAGTGAGTCTTTTTGTCAGTGTGAACTAAAGCATGTCGTTTCAAACACTGAAGAGTTCTGCACCTGTATGGGCACTGGGAGCAGAGATAAGGCTTGTACTGTGTATGAATGTGCTCATGGCTATGAAGCTGAGATCTAGTTTGAAACTTCTGTTTACAAGTTGGACACGTCTGCACCTCTTTAACAACATACCTGCATTTATGTTTTTTCAGAGCTGTTGATGTGCGAGCAAGTAAGCCACAAACCGAACACAGATATTTTCTTTCAAAAACCATCTTCTTTGACAGTTTAGCTTTGACAGCTGTAACGCTTTTGATTCCAGAAGAAGGTTTCATAGGTGATGCCAATGAAGAGACATTCATGATTAAAATGTACCAAAGAATTCATTTGAAAACAGTAATATAACAGTTACAATGACTATTAGACAAAGCCAGATTTCTTGAGTGTGTTCTGTCAACAAAACAAAACAATAAGAGAACATATACAGGCCGTCTGCAGATAAAGTGATTCGCACCTTGGGTTGTTTATACTCTTAAAAGTTAATAATATCTAAACACTTCTTGAAGGAAGTCTGCCCATTTAGGCTAAAACAATTCAGGAAATACCTGACCATAGAGTGCATAAAACATCTATTTACCCTAGATAGCTTGTGTGTAACTCTTCTCAAGATGGAGCAACATATGCATGTCATGGCATGTTACAGAAGCATACATTACTCGATGACAGAGATAAAACACACACCCATTCTCACTACGGTGAGAAAATCTGTTCTAGTTGGCAATCGTCAGGTCCCTGGGGACCATGGAGTTGTGCCGTGCCGCTGGTTTTGGCAGTCTCCACCAAACAGTCCACATAAAACATTTATTAGGCGACGCAGGACTGACCTCTCCAGAGGACAGGCCTGGGCATGTTGAACTTTAGCTGAGGCTGTTGCCTAGGTAAGCCTCTCCACAGCAACCTTATATCGAGGGAAAGTGAAGTTCCAAAACATCCTGCCGCTTAAGATGCAGGAATTGCCAGAACAGTGTTGAACCACCTTAGGAATTCCATCTAGGATTTTTCCTTAGGGTTTAATATTGAAGCCCTTTTCCTAAATAGGGTACTACCTTTCACCTTGACAGAAACTAGGGTCAACAGAGCCTTCAACACAATAGAAACAGATGCATTCCTGATGGCAAATTTTAACCTGAATAGACATTCACTCAACAAAAGTCGCAGAGTGGTCTTTCTGATTTATATCAAGGTGGTTCTTTCAGCAACTGTTATCTCTTTCACCATGGTAACCTAGAAAAGAAAAAGAGAAAAAAATGACAAAGACCTGCTTTATGGGAATTAAGGATTTCCTGACAAAAATATCCTCTAAAAAAAAAACTGTATGCAGGTCACAAAAAAGATCATAAAAACTCAATGGATAAAAACAATATAAAAGCACAAAAAATAATAGGAGTAAACAAAAAAACAATGTTGGGGGGGGGGGGGGGTTTGGGATTTACTGGGATATATCTCTTTAAATTTAAAAAAAAATGTGTTTAGTGTGACCCATACTTCACTCTGTGACCTACTCTCCACCATGTGACCCATCCTCCACCCTGTGACCCATCCTCCACCCTGTGACCCATCCTTCACCCTGTGACCCAGCCACCAGTTATAAACAGAATATTTTAATGTCCTCGCTTACATAAATAAAGGGATTTTCCACAAGAAAACATCAGCTAAATGCCATTTTTAGCAACAATTCTCGTTACCAGTCATTCTAAAAAGCTGTCCAGAGAAAAGTGAAAAGCAATGCTGTTAAAAGTCTCTTCATAAACAAGCATCTATAGCAAGCCAGAGAAGGAACATTTATGGGGCTGTGTCACAAACTGGAAGTGCAAGGTTGTGTGCTTCTCAAGGCAAAAGGGTTAACTGTAAAAAAAAGTTGAATGTTGTTGAATGTTCAATTAGGAATCAATATCACATCACTTGGGACACTCCTATAAGTGCTACCTCCCCAGCTTCAGCAGCAAGCAAAGAGTTTCAATTCCGATGGCACCAGTAGCTGTCTGATTGTATATCTGTCTCCTCTTTCCCCTGAGTGTTGAGCGTCGGCCACATCCCCTGGTAACACCTCGCAGCGTCATTCTCCTCAGACCCAAAAGACCAAAGCTTGAAGACTTAACACAACAGCTTACTCAGATAGACTTTTCAAGAGAACAATCAGTCCTGCAGTGGACTGTGGCTTGCAAGACAATGAATTGATGCTATCAATGCCATGCGCTGCACTTACCGTACCAAGGAGCACGCCAAAGGACATGACTCCATATCCCTGTCTAGACTGATGGACATAGGGGTGCAGCCTGGAGTTGCAAGAAAAGAACATTCCACTAAGGGACAAGACATTTCATTAACTAACACAAAACAGGCGTCATCAGTCGTTTTACACCTGTGAAGCTTTTGAGGAGGATATCGGAGCACCTATGGATCTGTCCAGAGTGCTGTGATGATAATCCTTTCTAATCAGTAATCACTAATCAAGGAGAACTGGCACATAAACAGCATTTTCTCTCAAGAAAGCTGAGGTATTTTGGTCATGTCAAGTGTCATGGCAGAGAAGGGTGCTGATACAGGACAGTAACCCCCCCCCCCCCCTCCCCCCCGTGTGGGTTCCGGGGCCCCATTGTGGGGATAACAAGAATAGATCCACTGCCTCCCCAAAAGCATGTCGTAAGAGTCGACTAAATGGGAAGCTTCCTTTGAAGTCGGAGTGCATCTGCCGGAGAGGCAAGGAACCAACAGTCTGTGTTCAAGAGAATGAGATCTGTAAAACTGATGCACACGCAACACTCAGGTTCTGGAGCAGGACTGCAGGTCAGTAGTGGACGAGCAACCAGAACCAGAAGAAGAAGAAGAAAGGACAGTGAACATGTACTGGCTATGAAGGCATACATGGATGGAGATAATAGCTAGAGAAAGAAAGACTTTTGGGCGTGCTGTGACGAAAGTGACGTTCTGTTAAGGATATGCTGATTGATGATGATTCCAAGAAAGATGGCTGCATCCCCACAACATGCTCCCCAAGATATTCTCCACAAGATATTCTACCCACGATATTCTTCCCATGATTTTCTCCCCAAGATATCCTTTCCAAGTTTTTCTCCCCAAGATTGTTTGCCCAAGATTTTCTCAGCAAGACTCGCTTCCTCACCTCTTTTGAGAATGGCAGTGTATCATTTTCATACTAAGGATAGGGTATAACAGACAACATTAATGTACATGGTTTCTGTGTGTGATACACACTAAAAACTGTTTGCTGCTAACAAGGAAGTCACCTGCCACATTTCTACCTCAGTCAAGACAAAACTTTACACAGGAACATTCTGACTATTCAGCTACCATCCTCCTGATGTTTTTTGACAGACAGCAATTGCACATGGCAAAGATGAGTTGAGTCAAGAATTGATATCACAACACTGGGGGCATTCCCATGTGTGCTCTGTCCACATCTTCAGCAGCCAGAGCAGAGTTCCAATACTAATGATATAGGTCATAATCTGGCTATAAGTCTGTCTTGCCTTTCCCCTGAGTGTAGTGTCAGCCAGACCTCTATTTATACCCAGGTGCCTCCTTCTCTCCAGGCCATAATAATATTGTTTCGCTTCTGACTCCGCTGCTTGTTCCCAAAGGGCCCTGACCACATCTGCCTTTTTATGTATCAATTCACCCATCCCAGTGGTGCAGATCCAGCCAATCTATCTGCCTGTTTATTCCCCACCACGCCAGCAAGGCCTGGAGAAAAGAGCCAAAGTATGCTCACTATCCGTGACCTTCCCAGTGAAGCTTGCCACTCTGCTTGAAGCATCTCTGTCTTCAACTTTTGCAGCAAGCTTTCAAAGTCTGTTACAATTATGACATGTGTATGCATCTTGTTCTTTAGCCACTGGAGAGCTGCAGAAAGCACACAGCAGAGGTGAGTACTAGCCTGTGGAATAAGGTAACAAGTAGTAAAAAGCAATCCTTTACAAACCCATACTTGGAGTGAATGTTGAAAGTTGAATTAAGAATCAACATCATAGCACTCAGGACACTCGCATAAGTGGTCAGTCCCTATAGACTCGGGGTGAAAAGCAATACCGTAGTTAACCAGACGACAACGGTATTCGTCGACAATGGGATTCGTCAGTATGGGCTCTCCGTTAAGGCATTTGAGGGAAACGGGGCTCTATTGTCAAATTTGGCCGGTAAGCTGGACTGCTTCGGCCGGCTTAGCGGGGCTTAGTGGGAGTTATGTCCCTTCGCCAAACTCAAAACTAGTCGCGGAAAAAGTTACGAATCAAATGACATACCTATCATCATCCGGGTGCGTGTAGGGCTGCGTAGGGTTGTGTCTAGGGTTACCTATCATCATACGGTTGCGCGTAGGGCTGCGTAGGGTTCTATCATCATCATACCGTTGCGTGTAGGGATGCGTAGGGTGTCTATCATCATCATCATACGGTTGCATGTAGGGTTGCGTAGGGTTTGGGTTAGCGGTAGGGTTAGGGGTGTGGGTTAGGGGTAGGGTTAGGGTTAGGGGTTAGGGTTAGATGTGACAATTTTCACGTAGGAGGTCGAAATACTGGCCGACAATCTGATGCTTGTGGGAGTGGCGCCACTGGAAGTGTGCCAAATATGAGGGCAATAGCGCGCGGCGGCTGGTGCCCCAATTGGTGGCGAATTGTCCGTGTCAGTAGCATCCACCGTCCGTCGACTGTTTGCGCGTACATGCGACTGTGCGCGATTGTAGGGAACTACGGCTTCACAATTGTCACATCTAACGCTACACCTAACCCTAAACCTAACCCTAAACCCTAACCCTAACCCTACCCCTCATCTTACGCAAACAACCAACCTACACGCAATAAGCAGCCTTACACGCAAGACGATGATAGACATCCTACGCAACCCTACACATACCCGGATGATGATAGGTAAGTATGCCGTTTGATTCGTGACTTTTTCCGCGACTTGTTTTGAGTTTGGCCAAGGGACATAACTCCCACTAAGCCCCGCTAAGCCGGCCGAAGCAGTCCAGCTTACCGGCCAAATTTGACAGTAGAGCCGGAAACGGAGCTAACAGTATAAATACCAAGTGAACCCAGACAGAAGGATCAAAGAGGGTATCCTGACCGCAGCAACAAAACTTCGACAAAAGGGGTGCCACCTCACAATCGGCTGGATACCAGCCCACAAGGGAATAATCGGCAACGAAAAGGCCGACATGGCAGCCAAAAAGGGCATCAACTGCGACCGCACCCTACACATAGGCCTAGGCAAATCAGAAGGCCGTGCAGTCGCAAGACAGTATATCACAGAGGCCTGGGACACACAATGGCAACAAGGTGTG